TCTTTATCCAGCCCTTCAAAACTCAGGGTTCTAGATTATCTTCTGTACCAGTTTCAGTTGGTTTCTTGTTTCTTTATTGTAGAAGGTCTGTATAGCTTGTCTGTCTATTACACCATCTTGCCAGAAGTCAAGCTGTTCCCCACAGGTAACCACTATTCTGACTGTGTTAATCAATTATTAATTTTCCTGTCTTTATCTTCATATCACATGTACTCTTTGTGTCTGGCTTCTGTCATATATTATATATGAGATTTATCCATGTATTTTCCATGTTTTTTCCCCTAAAATTTCTATGTACCAATAACAGCATTCATTCTATTGTATGAATATACTATGTTTTCCAATCCATTCTCCAACAGATGGACATTTGGATTATTTACAGTTTTTGGCTGCTATGAATAAAGGTATTATGAACATTTTAGTCTTTGCTGGATATGTACATTCATTGCTCTTTGGTATAAACATAGGAATAGATCTAAGAGTAGATGTATGATTTTGATTTAGTAGATACTGTCAAACAGTTATCTAAAGTGGTTGAATAAATTTATACTCCAACTAGCAATGTATGTGAGTTTAAACATTTCACTTCCTCATCAAGAATTGTATATTTTCATTATATTTAATTTTAGTATCTAGAATGATTCCATCATGCAAAGTTCCAGGACAGGCTAAACTAACATGTTCCCTTTCTTTATCTTTGGTTTGTATTTATAAGACTACAATATCTAGAACCTCAGAAGCATGGAAAAAGCCTGAGGATGAAATCCAATACATAGGGAATGGCATAGCAGATGGATGGAAAAAGCCTAAATCATTGAGGATTCTATTATGCTGTTGAACCAATTTTGGAAACTTCTCTTTTGAGATCTCATATTAAGTCAATGATAACTTTCTGCAAAAAGAGTGTGCAAAAGGTCTGACCTCTAACTTCACAAGGTGGAGAGAAAAATGACCATCAGGAGCCCAAGGCTTATTCCTATGAGGCAGAGGTCACACATACCATCATCCTCCAAACTTTTTACCAATTATTGCCTCAATTGTTCCTCCTTTGACATTCTCTACTTCTTTGCTGGATTCAGTAATTCATTGCAATAGTCACACAGAACTCACAGACAATACTTATAGTTGTGGGGTTTATTAAGGAAGTAACAGGCTACAATTCAGGATCAGAAGTAACTAAAGATATAGGCACATTTCTCTCTTCCCCCAGCCTTTGCCCTGCTTATGCCAGTGTTATGAATCTATTTTAGCTTTGTCTGTAGGTACCTAAAGAGGCAACATATACTACCAGCAAGCCTCCTGCCCAAAGGCACTCAGCTTTCTTGTTCTGTGGGCTGGAAAGCCTGTTACTCTGTCTCATGCCAGTCTCTTAGTTCTGCTGCTTCTGCTGCTGCCATCTGAGCATAGGGTCTTGGGCCCAAGGATGCGCTTCACTCCTGGCTCTTCTCTCTTGATGGCAGTGAGATACCACTTTCTGCCTCGGGATGGCTCATTTTAGCAAGGTGGCAGAAATGACTAAGCCCTACATTAGGGTTCCATATACCTTATTTTCATGGTCGAACCCCCACAGGATACCATGTACCTTATTTATGTTATTAGCAAGCTATCCAATTTCTTTGGTGGGCCATCTTACATTTGTATAGTCCTACCCAGTAATCTGGCTAGAAGAGCCGTGTTAAGTAATTCACTGCACCACACTATCTTTATGGTGTATGTTACTTTTAATTACATTTTCTGTTATGTAAAGATGAAAGCCTGCCTAATGAATATATTCTCCATTTGTTTAAACATCTTTTATGTCATTTAGTTCAATTTGGTCATTTTATTTATATGAGTTCTAAGTACTTACTATTAAGTTTAATCCTGAGGATTTTATATCTATCATACTGTAGTGAATGGATTTTTCTACATGATATGTATATTTTAAAATTTAATAGCTGTTGTTGATATATAGAAAAACTAGCATGAATATCTTTAAATGTTCACCTTATTACACTCTCCTGGTATGTTAATAATTTTTCATTTCTAATAGAGTTTTCTAGGTAGATAATCAAATCACTTCCAAATATTGATAGAATCCTCCCACCCAAATTTAATACCCAATTTTATCCTCATCTATTTCCATTGGTAATAAATTATATATTTCCCTTAACTGATAGTAAGTACTTTCTTGCTATTTATTTTAACTGTAATTCCTCCAATGTGACATTTTATCATGAAGCATTTTATCATGATCATGAAGTGGTCAGATATTGTTCAGAGTTAATTTTTTTTTTTGGTTTCAAATGAAAAATCATTTGATCTTTGTTTATTAAACTTTCAGGTAGAAGTGGTTGTTGGACTTTATTTTATGCCATTTGAAACTCTATCAGAGTAAACATATGATTGTTCTCATTTAAACTACTGATTAGGTTATTATTATTGAAAGAATAATAGTTCCTGAGGAATCAAATCAGTAAGGTTTATTTGGTTATGAACTATTCTTCTTTCAGTATACTTTCAGATTCAATGGATTAATATTTTATTTAGGACTGTTGCCTATGTAATCATTAGAGGATTGTGAGCTTTGAATAAATGTTATTTTAACTTTGTAAGTGCATTGAAAAATTTTCATATTATCTGTCCCCTAGAAAAATATATATAACATAGGACTGTTTTGAATGTTAAAGTCTGGAATATGTCAACTGAAAGAGTCATCTCTGCCTGTAACTCCTTTGAAGTTAGTTTTTTGATATTACATTGTTTTTTAAACAAATCTAATGGATTATTTTCTTTTTGAGTTAAATTTTACTTGAAACTCAAACACAATCCTGCTACTCAAAATAATTGCTATAGACTCATAGTGTTGCCTGGTAATTTTTCTTATTTATATCAATGATGCTATTATTCTTTTCTTTTCTTTTCCTTGAATGTATTCTACAAAGTCCCATCAACTTTTATAGATCTTTTTGAATAGCCAAAGCTTAGATTTATTTCTTGATTCTATTTTCTAATATATTAATTTATGCTTTTGTTTATCTGAATAATTCTTTATCCTTGTCTTACATTTATTGTTATTGTCATCAGTTGATTCTGACTCACGGTGACCCCATTTGTGCAGAGTGGCACTGTTCCATAGAGTTATCAAGGTTATAAATTTTGGAAGCAGATCACCAGGACTTTCTCCAGAGATACAGCTAGGTGGGTTTGAACTGCCAATCTTTTAGCTGGTAGTCGAGCTCTTATCTGTTTGTATCATGCAGGAATTCCTTTTTACATTACGTTTTGTTTTGAATATTCAGAAACTGTAATTATTATTATTTTTATTTATTAATGAGTGCATTTAAGGGTAGAAATTCTATGCTGACTACTTCATTAGCAACATTTTTTAATTTTAGTATGCAGTGTTCCCATTTTATAATATTCTACATGTGGTTTCCCCATTTTGTTAACATAAGATGTTTTGGCAATGGTATTTATCATGGATTAAATTGTGGCTCCTTAAAATATGTGTCAGTTTGACTGGACCACAATTCTCAGTGGTTTGGTAGTTATATAATGATGTAATTTGACAGTTATGTAACAATCCCTATTATATGATCTGATGTGATAAGCCAATCAGTTGTAAGAGGATTAGGGTGGGCTACAACACCTTAATCCTGTCAGAGCCCTGATCTGATGTAAGGAGAGTTTCCCTGGGGTGTGGCCGACACTACCTTTTATCTTTTAAGAGGTAAAAGGAGAGAGAAGGGAGCAGAGAGAGAGGGAACAACTACCATAAAGAAAGAAGAGCCAGCAGTGTGTCCTTTGGACCAGGGGTCCTTGTGCTGGGAACCTCCTAGAACAAGGAGACACAGAGAAAGAAAACCTTCCCCTAGAGCCAGCATCCTGAATTCATACTTGTAGCCTCCTAAATTGTGAGAGAATAAATTTTTGTTGTTGAAGTCATCTGTTTGTGATATTTCTATTATAGCAGCACAGATAACTAAGACAGTATCTTAAAAATTTCCAAGAAAAAAAATCCAAGTGTTTGCAATTTGAAAACCTTTTTTTCAATAGAGATACTTTTAGTAAGTGTTAGAAGGGATAAAGGCAAAACAAAGACAATCATCCAGGATGAGGGAAGCCATCAACATGTACACTGTACAGAAAGCTTAATGGAGTCCCCATTTTGAAAATATTCAATTTCTGTTTAATGAATTTTTCCTTTGTTCTTAAGTTCTTTCTTTCTGAGACTCCATATGCTGAATCTCATAAAACAATCATCTCTGGATCTTACCTTTATCCCTGATTATTGTGTTGTCTTATTGATCCATTTTGAGGAAGATTGTCCTCATATTCTTTTCCCAATCAACAGAGCACAAAATTTCCAAATAGGGGGCAAAAGTCAAGAGCTTCTATCATGGAATAATTAGATTGGGTGTGTTCAGGCAAGCTCTGGACTCTTTCATGCATGTATTTGACACTATGTAGTGGAAGGGAGTGGAGACAAAAGAGCTAATGCAGAGATAACGCAATCTTTGCAATTTTGCTGTGTGACTATCTTTGTTCATTAGCTAAAATAGTACAGATATTTTTCCAGTGTTCTTTTCAAAGCTATCTTCACATCCTTATTCTTTAGGCTATAGATGAGGGGATTCAGCATGGGAGTGACCACACTGTACTGCAAGGAGACAAGCAAATCAAGGGAGGAACCAGAGGGGGGCATGAGATAGCGAACCAAAGCTGAACCAAAGAACAGGATCACTGCAAGGAGGTGGGAGGAACAAGTGGAGAAGGCCTTTCTTCTTGTAGAGCTGATGCTCAGGATGGTGGAAATAATACAATAGTATGAAAAAAAGATAGGGAGAATGGTTACAAGCCCATGCAATAAAGTGGAACTGATCAGAATATTGATATTGATGGAAGTATCAGAGCAAGACAGAGGGAAGAGAGAGGGCAGCTCACAGGTGTAGTGCTGTATTTGTGTTTGGGCCTTACAGAAGTCCAAGTTATTAGCCAAGATCACAATGAGGATTGCATTGAGAGAGGCGAGGCCCCATGAAGTCAACACCATCTTCACACAGAGCTGGTTGCTCATCATCTGGCCATACAGCAGTGGGTGGCAAATGGCAGCATAGCGATCATAGGCCATCACTGAGAGCAGAAAGGCTTCAGTCCCTGCAGTGCTAAACACAAAGAAGACCTGAGCCAGGCAGCCCTCTACTGAGATGGTCTTCTTCTCAGACAAGAGGTCCCCAAGCAGCTTAGGTAGAGTGACAGAAGAGAAGCAGAGATCCAGGAATGACAGATTACCCAGGAAGAAATACATGGGGGTGTGGAGGTGTGAATCAGTCCCGATCACCAGCAGCATCATCAGGTTCCCCATCAGAGTCAGGAAGTAGACCACCAAGAAGAGCACAAAGAGCAGAGCTTCGATGTAGGGGTCAGTAGACAACCCAAGGAGGATGAACTCAGTGACAGTGCTGTGATTCCTCATGATCAGATGAGGAAGAAAGCTCCTTGAAATAAAATAGGAAGAGGGGTGACATCTCTATTGACTTCCTATCTCCTCAGGACATTAACCAATCTTCTTATACAACCTTCTGTGCCTGGGTTTTGTGCTCAGACATCTCAAAGCTGCCCTCACTATATCTCAGCAAGGTTTGTCCTTTGGTAGTTGTCAATTTTGAGTCACATTGTTCCTGTTCTTCAGAGAATGCTATACTTGTTTCACAAGGATTTACTGGAGAAATGAATATCTCTGGCTCATCTACATGTTTATTGTATTTACCTTACACTGGATGCTTCCTATAGTTCAGAAATCCTTAAAATAATTTTGTTTTAAAAATACATTATAGCATATATACTAACAATAATTGTTCAAAACCTTTCTAGTTTCCCAAATCATTATCATGAGTATTAGTTAGTTTAAAATTATCCAATGATTTCTAATATCCTAATGACATATTCAATTTTAATGGGACTTTTATGTGTGTATATGTGTACAGAATACTTTTCAATCACTATCTCTTTTTTTTCTTTGTGATGCATTTAAGGCAAAAGATCTTATCTTATACCCTGCTTTACAGAGAGATTTTGTTATATTATGGTGATAACAAGTACAAGAATCATGAAGTAAATTCCATTTTGTATAATTGTCATCCGGGAATCTAGGTTTTGTCCACAGTAATAAAGACAAATTTTCTTACTTTGACATTTAGAATTCTCACCAGTGTTCTGTTTTGGTCTGAGCCCATAGTAGCCTTCTAGATGTACCAATATTTTTAATTCTGTTATTTAGGGAGCCCTGTTCATGGCCCCTCTTGCCTTGCCAGCAATCTATTACATGTGATAGCTCATCAAGAGAAGCTTAAATTCTGATCATATGAACTAAGCATAGTGAATAATAAACAATATGAAGAGAAGATTTCAGAAGTTTCCTAGACAAGCCTTGCCCATACTGGTTGCTTCAAGATATTTTGGAATGAATAAAGGAGTGAAGGATATGTGTGGAAGTTCAGCCTGGACAAAGTGGCTTGAGGGATCCTAGCAGCTGGGGGACAACATTCAGAGCACAGGTACACAGAAGAGGACTCTGAACTGGGGAGAAGGACATCAGTGCTGGAAACAGAAGGAGACCAAAGGTCAAATTCATCCAAATGAGAGAGCTGTTCTCTCCCGTGCTTCCTCACACTATTCACACTGTCTCAGTGGTGACTACTAAAAACCAAATCAAACCCCCTGCCATCGAGTCGATGATTCCAACTCATATTGACCCATAAGGACAGAGTACAACTGCCCTATAAGGTTTCTAAAGCTGTAAATCTTTATGGAAGCAGACTGCCTCCTTTTTCTCCTGCAGAGTGGCTGGTGGGTTTGAACCACCAACCATTTGGTTAGCAGCCAATTGCTTTAACCACTACAACACCAGGGCTCTCTGTGATAATTACTAGAGGGTGGTTAAATTAAGTGAAAAACTTCACTGTAGTTCTCTTAACTGGAGGTCTGTGCAATGAGGGATAGAAATAGCTCCAACAGTCCAATGTCTATCTCTGATCTCTTAATTTCATTCCAGGTCTCAGCTTTCTGCAATCTCTTTGTATCCAGATCATGACAGGATTTATGCCCAGGCTGTAATACTTCCTGCTCCCAGTGTTATAAGAGGGAAGATAGACCTTTCTGAGAAGCTGTTTAAGGCAGCAGGGGGAACAGAGACATCAGTACCCCAATCAGGGAAGTAGATGATCTGCCAAAGAGTGGGAAATTTCCATATACATGTCAGGGAATAGGGAGGAGGATAGTAGTAGATTCAGGCTCTAGTGTGAATGAAGCAGCTATTAATTGGTAAGGAGTTTGAGTGGAGAATGCAAAGTAGAATAAAAACACATATAGGACTTTTGAAGAAAAATAGGGGGAGTAACAGAGAATTGTGGAGGATATTACCACACCTTTAAATTTTCTGGAGGAGGCATTTCCTGAATGTTCTGGCTTTTCCATGATGGGTGGATACATCAGAAGTAAGGTCTCCTCATAAGAAAACTTGTGTCACAAGAGTCTCTGAATCTCGCCATTGTTGTTGTTGTTGTTGTTGTTGTTATGTGCCGTCAAGTCGGCCCCGACTCATAGCGACCCCTCCTTAGGTTTCCGAGGCAGTATCACTACGGAAGTAGGATTGCCCAACCTTCCTTCCGAGGAGTGGCTGGTGGGTTTGAACCGCCAGCCGTTGAATCTCGCCATAGTGGATAGCTTTTCTCCTTGCTGTCAATGAGTACTGGACTATAGAATAGTTCAAGCTCTAGAAGACTTGAAGTGTCACAGAATCAGGATTATTCTTCTCAATACCTTAACATAGAGTAGAATCATTCTGCAATGCAGGTCACTATGGATAGACAAAAATAATTTCTTTAAAGAAAGTCATATTCTGAACAAATAGTATATATTTCGTTGAATCTGTCACTTGCTCTCAGGTTTAATAACCAGGCATTTCTTCCTTCATAGTCTCTGTAACTATAAATAATATGCTAAAAGCGTCATTTAAAGAAAGAACTTTTCAGTAGAGCCAATCAGAGGCTATCTGTGCTTGGGCAGCCACAGGTGGATTTTGGAACCCACGGGAAGCTGGGTCAATGCTGTATATTCCCTGAAGTCTCAGCCTGAAGCCTAGCTCTATGCTAGAAAGTTAAACTTGGTTAAGAGACACAATGAATTATCTCCAGGAAAAATTGAAGTTTCAGAATTAAGGCAATTAAAAAAAATTATTTTGATGTAAAACTAAAATTTTCCTCATAGTTGCAGAGGGTGGAAATGGCCCTTTAAGAATTCTCAGGGAACCTGGGCTATGACACATTATTAATCTACAGGTTATTTTCTAATATACACTTGAGTTTTTCTTACATTTTCAACAAAATTATTCATTATGATGTTTAAATGAGAGACAATACTCTGACCCTGAGAAAATAATTGGTCCTTGAGGTTTAGAGTTTTTATTTCCAAGATTAAAATGAATTTAAAAAGGGTTTATCAAAGAGTTACCCATCTTTCTGTTTGTTTTACTGAGGTGGCTTATGTGTTGCTATGACGCTGGAATTATGTCACCTGTATTTCAAATCCTAGCAGGGTCAACCATGGTGGACAGGTTTCAGCAGAGCTTCCAGACTAAGATAGATTAGGAAGAAAGACCTGGTGATCTGCTTCTGAAAATTAGCCACTGAAAAACCTTCTGGATCCCAAGAGAACATCGTCCAACTTGCTGCTTTGGACAGGTCATCAGGAGGGATCAATCACTAGAAAAGTACATCATGTTTGGTAAAGCCAAGGGCAGGCAAATCCTTGGGTAGATGGTTTGGCACAATAGCTGCAACAGTAGACTTGGACATGCCAAAGATTGTGAGGATGACACAGGACTGGGCAATGTTTCATTCTATTGTATATAATGTCATCATGAGTAAGATGACTTGATGTCTATCTGTCTATTGAGTATCATTAATCATCTATGTATCAATTATTTATCTATCACTCTCTTTGTTAAAGAGTTAATAATTCAAATGTACCTTGCGTTGTTAGTAATAATGAATGCAATAGGTTATTAAACTATCTAAGATAAGCATTTTTTTTTTCTTATCTGAGAGAAGAAAGTATCTTCAATACTATTTTCATTCCTTTTTTAAAATAACTTTATTTTGTTTTTGCTGAAAAAACACCCAGTGAAACATATACCAATTCGTTTCTGCACATGCCATATAGTGACATTGATTATTTTCTTTGGGTTGTGCAACCATCCTCACCCTCCTTTTCTGAGTTATTGCCTCCCAAGTAACTAACTGCCTTCTAAATTTCCTATCTAATCTTCTGAGTTGCTGTTATCAATTTGATGTCATGCAGATAATGCTTAAAAGAGCACACTGCTCAAGGCAGACATTCATTACTAATTAAGCTAGTAAAGCAAGGTTTTAAGCAGACTTCAGGGTATTTTAAGATTTAAAGACTATCTCAGGGCAGTAGTTTCAGGGGCTCATCGAAAATTTGAAATTCTGTTGTGCATTATCCCCCTTTTGATCAGGATTTATTTTATTTTCCAGAATCTTTGATCAAAATATTCAGTAATGGTACTTAGGCACCATCCCATTCTGGTTTCACACAAAGAAAGCAGTTGTTCATGGAGGCAATTAGCCATATATTCCACATACTCCTCCTATTCCTGACTCTCCTTCTTCCTCTGTTGCTCCAGGCCAATTGTAGCTTGTAGGTTGGATGTTCACTTGCAAGCTTTTAAGATCCTGGCACTACACAGCACACTAGGAAGTAGAGAAGCACTAAACACATGATTAGGCCAATGACCTGGGATGTCTCAGGAAACCATGACCCTACACCTCAAACAACCAAATCTTATGAGGTTTTTGGTTGTACATTAACAATCTCAGTAGCTACTCCCCCCTCCCTTTTTCATTGTTGTAAATATATCTATCACATAACTTTTTCCAATTCGTTTTTTTATAAGTTGTCAACTTTTTGACAGCAATTACAGTAATTGGCTGTGCCACCCTACCTTAAATTTCCCGTCACCCTTTCTTCCCTCTCTCCTTCCCCTGATAGCTACTAATAAACTTTGTTCTCTATACATTTTCCTTTTCTTGTCATTTTCAACTAGTGAAATTATACAATTTTTTGTCCTTTTGTGATTGACTTATTTCACTCACCATAATGTCTTCCAGCTCCATCCATACTGCAGCATGTATCAAGACTTCATTTCTCCTACTTCTTGAGTAGTATTCCATTGTATATATGTACAACATTTTGTTTACCCATTCATCTGTCGATGGGCATTTAGGTGGTTTCCACCTTTTGGTTATTGTAAATAGTGCTGCAATGAAACATTTGTGGACAAGTCTATTTGAGTCTCTGCTTTCAAGTCTTTTGGGTATATACCTAGGAGTGGAATTGCTGGGTCCTATGGTAGTTCTATTTTAGTTCTTTTCCACAACTGCTGTTTTCCACAAC